CCTGCTGATTTTGAATGTTTGCCCACTCACAAAGAAATGATCAGTCTAAAAATCAAATGGTAGGTGTATTGTAACACTGAGAGACAGAATAGCAACAAAAAAAATTCTGAAGAAATGCATGTCTAACAAAGTATGCACTGATTTGCATGTTCATGAGGGAAATAAGTATTTGATCCCCTATCATTCAGCAGGATTTCAGGCTACCAGGTGTCTTTCATGCAGGTAACAACCTGAAATTAGAAGCAGTCTCTTAAAGGGAGTTCTGCTAATCTCATTTTGTTACCTGTATAAAAGACACCTGTCTACAGGAGTAATCAAATCAGATTCCAAACTCTCCACCATGGCAAAGACCAAAAAGCTGTCCAAGGATGTCAGGGACACGATTGTATACCTACACAAGGCTGGACTGGGCTACCAAACTATCGCCAAGCAGCTTGGTGAGAAGGTGACAACAGTTGGTGCAAATCATTTGCAAATGGAAGAAAAACAAAACGACTGTCAGTCTCCCTAGGTCTGGTGCACCATGCAAGATCTCACCTCGTGGAGTGTCAATGATCATGAGAATATTGAGGAATCATTCCAGAACTACACATGAGGGTCTTGTCAATGATCTCCAGGCAGCTGGGACCACAGTCACCAAGAAAACAATTGCTAACACACTACGCCGACAAGGATTGAAATTCTGCAGTGCCAGCAAAGTCCCTCTGTTCAAGAAAGCACATGTCCAGGTCCTTCTGAAGTTTGCCACTGAACATGTGAATGATTCAGAGGAGGACAGGTTGAAAGTGTTGTGGTCAGATGAGACCAAAATCGAGCTCTTTGGCATCAACTCAACTCACCTCACCGTGCTTGGAGGAGGAGGAATGCTGCCTATGACCCCAAGAACACCATCCCAACTGTCAAACATGGTGGTGGAAACCTGCTTTGGGGGTGTTTTTTTTCTGCTAAAGGGACAGAACTGCACCGCAGGGACAGGGCAATGTACCATAAAATCTTGGGTGAGAACCTTCTTCCCTCAGCCAGAGCATTGAAAATGGGTCATGAATAGGTGTTCCAGGATGACAATGACCTAAAACACACTGCCAAGGCAACAAAGGAGTGGCTTAAGAAGAAGCACAATAAGGTCCTGGAGTGACCTAGCCAGTCTCCAGACCTTAATCCGATTGAAAATCTGTGGAGGGAGCTGAAAGTTCGAGTTGCCAAACTTCAGCCACCAAACCTTAATGACTTGGAGAGGATCTGCCAAGAGGAGTGGGCCAAAATCCCTCCTGAGATGTGTGCAAACCTGGTGGCTAACTGCAGGAAACGTCTGACCTCTGTGATTGCCAACAAGGGATTTGTCACCAAGTACTAAGTCATGTTTTGTGAAGGGGATCAAATGCTTATTTCCCTCATGAACATGCAAATCAGTGCATAATTTGTTAGACATGCATTTCTTTTGAATTTTTTGTTGCTATTCTGTCTCTGTGTTACAAAGAAATAATCAGTCTAAAAATCGAATGGTAGGTGTATTGTGAGTAGGCAAACATTCAAAATCAGCAGGGGATCAAATACTTATTTCCTTCACTGTATATTCGTCCACCTATAGAGATTCAGTCATTTTTTGATCTGTGTAATCATGGATCAAAATTAGACTGTCAGCCTGTGTGAAAGGAGCCTTAAACCTACTTGAACTGGGAACTAATTATACTCCATGAAACAAACTATGACAGTTTTAGTAAGACTTTTTTTTTTTTTTTCCTTGCTACTTTATGCAAATCTTTTGCAAAGGCTGGTTATCTCTGGAAATTGGATTCAATGGTAAATACCAAAAAAAATTACATTTTAGGGTTTGTTAGGCAGTTAAAGTGATACTTCCCTTTTAGGAGAAAGTAGATACATTTTATACACTTAAAAGATTTTTTGTAAATATTGTTGCAGATTTTTACCTATTTTACCTATTTTTTCTATTATGTAGAAATTGAGCTAGGACAATGCATTAAAACCTAACTGCATTTTTAACCACTTGCCTCCCTGCCACAGTACATTTACTGCAACTGGCACAGTCACGTGTGTTGTGTGTGTATATACGTGATTCAGCCTGTTCCAATTTAGGACCGCACATCCTCTTTCTGCTATGTGGCCACTATGTCCCATAAAAGGTTTACTTGGACCAAGCTGGCTTAAACAAACTATTTACTGCACCAACAGGTGCCCTTGCTAGGCATGCGGGCAATAACTGTATTTAGCCTCAGCTACATACAGTATACAGAGCTGTGTTCCAGAAGTAGGAATAGGAATTCCCGTGCCACTCTCGGAACAAAACCGAGTAGGGCTGAGTGCTGCTCAGCCATTCACAGGGAGCTTTGTATTGTATGAATGAATATAAAGCTTCCTCTGATAAGAGTTTTTTTGATCCTGACAGCCTCCGCCCATCTCTATCTCAGCCAATCAGATGAAGCTTTGTATTCACTTCTGAAACACAGTACTGTATACTGTATATAGCTCAGGGTACATAAAGTTCACATACAGTTAATATAGCACAGCCAATAAATACACCTATTAGTGCAGGAAATGGTTCATTTGGGCCAGTTTGCCCCAAGCAAACTACTACATGCATTTAAAGGGACTAGAAATGTGGAGTTAGGCTTTCAGACTGCTAAGTGGTCTAAGTTAGAGTCTACCTGTTAAACTCACAAAATCTGTTAAAGTAAAAGAACTTCTGCATTTTGGTATCCCTGTAGAAGTGCAAAACCTTGACCAAGATATGAAAAGTATCTGCAATAAATCTGTGGGCAGAACTAGGGATATCTGAAATTTTACCTAAAGTGGCTCTAAAGCCAAAACTACAGGACAGGAAGCGAAGAGAAACGTCCCTAGTGGGACACCAATGGCAAAAAAGACAGTGATATTAACCATTTACTACTGTACTCTATCCAAAATAAAAACAAGTTTGGCTTTAATTATACTTTACGCCTCTGTGGAGACTTGAGAAAAAGCAGTCCGCTAATTATACAAATAGAATGGGCATCTTTTGAAGTGTTTACAAGGCTAGTGTACATTCTGCTGTGGTTGCAATAAAGTGTTGTAATTATTTGACCGCTTACAAAAGTTATAGCTGTATCCAGATTAAAATAGGAAGGCAATTTTTACTAAAATTGTACGAAAACTGTTAAGATAGAAATTTGAGAGCCACCATTTTTGATTTTGTATTTGAAGAAGTCTTGTTATCGGTATTCTTGCCTTTTTACTTAATGACGTGGTGACCCAAAACAAGCATGTGCATATTTGTTGTCCTGATGCCTGATATGTATAAATTTAATCTAGGTCAGTGACCCAACAAGTATGGGCGGTATCAGAATGACCGTAGTAAAGCTTGCACATTTAAAACCATGTCTGCAACGGCACCGCCATATTTCCATTCTGTCAGGTTTCTCTTTAAACAATAAAATGGCTCAGGTCCCAATTCTTTGTGTGTATTTTTTTCCAGTGAAAGCCAAGTGGAGGATGGCCACCTGGTGAATCGATTTTGTGTACTTGAGGTTTTAATTAGCCAAACTATGCAGCTGGAAATCCATACATGGTTTTCAGGAGAACCATGCATATTTATATGTAAAGATCGTATTAAAAAAAAAATCAGACTTTCCAGTTTTGTGTACGTAAACTTTGTGTATTTTATATAACCGTTCTGTTTAGAAGCATTGGCTGTGTTATGTGGACATAGAATATGTATACTATGTAAGCCAGATGGAGCCGGTCAGTTGAATCTGGGAGTCAGGGTACTTGAAAAACATATGCACCCACAGCAGCAGTATCATTGCTATCATACTTATTCCTAATATGCATAGATAATGTGTCTGATAGATAATGTATTTGCTTATTTATTACACATTTACAATTTTTAAATGGATCAAAACTGAGATTTAATGGCCTTTCATGGATTTAGATGCCTTTTTAGGTTGTATATATGTAGTGTTTTTTTTTTTTTTGTTTTGTTTTGTTTTATTTCCCCATGGTAAACTGAGTTGCTCTTGATATGCTGTTTAGGAGAACTTATCTCAGAGTATCATACATTGCACTATTTTACAATGTTAAGCTGCTACAATTGTTAGTATGTCTACAAAAATAAAAAGCCCAAATCTGCCTACCTATGTTTTATATATAATTTAAATTTACATTTTTGTTACATTCTACCTCATTCTGACTCCAAACAAATGTTTCTGCACCAGAGTTTGGACAGTTAGGTGGTGGCCACAACAAATATTCAAATTTTTAGACTGTGCTATGTGCATGCACTATAGTCTGCTTTGGGTATTTTAGAGTGTATTTACTTGTGTATGTAAAGATACAGGACTTGCCTGTTTGTCACATATTTTCCGCTATCCTTAATACAGGATCAGTGTGAACTCTTGTGCTGTCCTTTAGGATGGATGGATGGCATTCTTCACTGTATAGACTCTTCAAAGCAAAATGATCGATTGGTTACACCTTTTGTACCAATCTTTTAAAACATGATAGTATCTTGATCTGTAAGAATTTTATCTTACTTTAGAGGAAAGCAGATTATTCCTTTAAATGATAATAGTAATGTCCACTATTGTGGCCTTGCTGAGTATGAGTTCAAGGTTTCCTGTAACTGGCTAATTAATAAACAGCCATGTGGGTACTCCAATTCTGGTGCTGAAATAAAAAAAAGAATAGGACTTCCTCCATTTTGATGCAAATTCAGTGAACAAATCCTTCATATCTAACACAGCCTAGAACACTCAGTCTGAGAATAACTAATCCTCCTTGTACTATATATGGTCTGCATTCACCTGTTGCTCTTTCCGTCCATTTTATGCTTATGTAACCTTTTCTCATACTGTTTTTTCTTTTACTTACTTTTTATACTAACTTGTTTCTCATAACCTCCTTTCACCTGCCTGTCTCACCCCAAACTGTGCATGTCAAACCCTTTCTCTCCGGGGTTTGAACTTCCTTCTTTCTATGATTCAGGTGCCTCACTCTTTCCTTTCCAGGTTCCTCCAGTTCTTTTAACATGTCAAACTCTGGAGATTTGTTCATGAGCGTGCAGTCTCTCAATGGAGATTCTTACCAAGGTGCCCAGGTTGGAGCCAACGTACAGTCACAGGTAGGGATCGTCCGATGATTTGCCAATTGGAAAAAGGCATTGGTCACATGCTCATGAGAGAAGTATGGTGATAGACATGCTTATATTATTGGAAGGTCTTGGACATAAATTGGCAGGTTGTGAACATTTTCATAGAAATGAAAGAAATGGTTGACTGACTGGTAGGTTTCTTTTCACTTTCTCTTCACTGGTCTTGGATTTCACTGACTGGCTCCTGAATTCTCTTCTATTTTGTCCACTCCTAGAGGAAAAGACCTGACCATTACTATAAAAACTGCTTGCCTCATACGCACAATAAAGGGGTGTAGTGTCATAAACGTTGCTATTTGCAAGGCCAAAATGGATAGGTTGTTGTTAACATCTGAGGCAGTTTGTGGGTCATTTGTAGATCGGGCAACTATTATTAAGGTTACAAATTCGTAATTTTGCTTTCTTGGCTTAGTTGAAGTATTTATTACACATTTGTTGTTAACATTGTTCCCTTTTTGTTTTATAACCGATCACAACCTTTCACTATAAAAAAAAAAAAAAAAATCACAATCTCAAAGGTAGCCCTTTTAACCAGTGCAGGTAGTGCATTGGGAAAAATGCTTGCGCTCACTGAAGTGTGAGATGGTACGTTAGTGTTTTGCCCCTGTTCCTGTGCTCAGAGCTGTGTCAGCTTGTGTAGCAGAAAAATAATTTGTTTTGCATTGGTAAGTTGCCATCATAGCACACTTATCTCTGCACCCTTTCTAAAGCATAAAAAGAATGTTTTATGTCAAATTGTTGGAAGACACCACCTAGTGCCTCATCGTGGGCACACAAATTCTGTGATTTAACCTTTTCTTCTGGCCGATGCATTTGAAGCATCGTTATTTATTAAACCTGTATGCTCCAGAAAGAATATTTTCTTTTCTCCTTTTGCTATCCATTGTATTTGTTCTCTGATTGATACATGTCTTCCATGCGCTTCGAAATGGTGTTTTTTATTTTACCGCATATAGAGATATGGTAAACAATCCTCTACAGAGTTCAAATAGTTATTTAATGCAAATTTGTAAGTTATATAAAATTTACTGGGATGCTGATTGTATTTACCATTGTCTTTTGAAGGGCCATACTTTAGTTTCTTCCGATTACCATTTAATGCTGCAAAGGCATATAATAACAATGGTGCATTAGTAGGAAAACAAAGGATGCAGGCACATGGTTAAGTAATAGTCGTAATATCCAATGTTCAAGGAGGTTGGGCCTTTATTAAAGCTGAAATCTAGGCAAACTACTAATAAAGACTCTGGGGGGGCTAAATACATGCACGTACGTATGTATGTATGTATGTTGTTGTGCCTGCCAAAGCTTTAGTATTTCTATCTACAAGTTTTGAGAACCATACAGCTCTGTCTGATGGGGAAGTAGATTTTTCTCTAATGCAGTTTTTAGTAACACTTAAGCCAGCCATACATTGATCGAAATTTGGCCAGCTGAATTCAATGCATTTATGGCAGGCTGCTTGTACAGAAATTGATATTACTGATCGACTTCTGTAAATTTCTGTACAAACAGCACTGCTGGCTATAGCCGTCAGTGGGAAGTCTCCCCGCTGTCAGAATACAATAGTTCAGGGGGAGTGTTTTTTTCCCCACCCACACAGTGTCTGGTTGGGGGAATCGTCTTTTTATTTCATTCAACCAGCAGTCCAGGTCATTCCACTCCCCTCACAATTGGTCTGCACAGTAAAAGGAGAAACAGTAGACTGATGAGCTCATCTCTCTGTCACTGTTCTCTCTCCTACAGGGACTGCAAGGGGCTTGACAAGTCAAATTCAGGTACTTCAACTTTTTACTTTAAAAAAAAAAAAAAAAAAAAAAAAGACATTTACAGCCAAACCACACTTTTTTCCTTTGCAATGTTGTTGAAGCAGAAACAGTTATCACACATTAGGTGTGCTAGCATGTTGTAGTACCATTCACTTTAAATGGCACCCTGACTCATTAGCGCAGCTCACATGCACACGTGTTACAAAACACTCCATTGGAAACATTTCTGCAAATTCATGTTTTTTTTGCGTCATTCTGTTGCATTGGCAGGCCATCCAGAATGAATTGGCTGCCTTAACACAATGCACATTAGCATGCAACTTAATTTAACGCACAAGAACAGCTAAGTGAGACTGGGCCTTTCGGGATCTATTAATACAGGGCTGCATTAATTTCTGATTTTATAGCTGCAGGGAGTTCAGCTTTAATGTAAAAAAAACAACACTTTAAAGGAACTTAAAAAATTTATGTTTTCACATCAGCATCATATAGACTTTGGAGCAAATATATTTTTCTATGTATCTAAACCAAGATCATTCACTGCCTGTTAAAGTAACTGATAACACTAGTATAAGATCTGTTCATAGGTGCTTTATATTGCACTTTAGCTGAGTTCTATAAAACGTAGGTCAGTTGGGCTTATTGAAACCTGTGGGGAAAAGCTGAGCATTGTTAAGAAGCAATTCTAGTGAACAAGTAATGGAAAGTAATAGGAGTTTTGGCTAATACTCGGTTTAGTGTTCCTTAAAATGGCTGTAAACCTCAGACATGAAATATGAACAAAGCATATCCCTCTATAGTGTGTACTTGTCTCAATTAAGGGCACTAAGTGTCGTTTCTGCCTGCTGCAGCATTCCTCTGTTGTTAGCATGAATTTCTTCTGACAAGTTTTCCTGGCACCAAGAGGAAAAAAAAAAAGATGACGGGAGGGATCTCCAGCAGATTGACATCCTCGGCCCTGTTCCTGTGAGCTGTGTGGAGAGGGGGGTGTGTCTCTTCCCTCCAATCCGCTCTCAGAGCTCTCCTCACTGAGCTGTGCAGAGTGTAAATACAGCTCCCTGCCCCCCCCCCCCCCCTTTTGTCTGAACTCTGACAAGCTGTTTAAATTGAGTACTTTGAACAGATTTAGAGAAGACTCTCGATAAACAGGTACAATTTATGTAGGAGGATTTGTTTAATCTCTGGGTATCACCTGAGGCCAATCACTGCACTGGATATATGTGAGGGTTTACAACCACTCTAAATATTCGTTGTTGGCTGAACAGCTATGAATAATGGTGATTTCTGTCAAAGTGGTGGCTGCTGAAGGTTAACTTTATTGGCTCATTCCACTATTGCAGTTCGTGATTTTTATCCTTTTTTTCCTCTGTGTTTCCGTATGCTAGAGACACATTTTTTCATTGTTTAGGTTTTGCCTTACTATTTCTAGGCTATATTTGCAGTGTTTATATTTTGCCATCATTTTACTTTTTTCTTAATTTATTTATGCCTCAAAGCAATTCTCATTTTGTTGTTTTTACTGTAATTGGGTATATTTTTATCATCATCCTCCATTCTGTTTGTCGTATTTCGGATTTGAGTGTTTTTAGTCTCCCCTTTTGTTTACTGTTTGTCCTTGTATGTCTGACTGTATTGTGACTCCCACCCTTAATGCTTATCAAAGAACCCTGTCCTCACCGTTATTACTGTCTGTCTTCCAGGTGGATACCCTTCGCCATGTTATCAGTCAGACAGGCGGATACAGTGAGACTCTGACAGCAAATCAGATGTACAGTCCGCAGGGCATCAGTGTAAGCAAAGAAACCTCTTGTTTCCTCTCTGTTTTTCCCAATTATTTCAGGTCCACGGGGCCCTGACTGCCACATTGCACACACTCTTCTCCCTTTCATGGCCACCTATTTTTCTTTGTGCCGGTGACGCCAGCGGCCAGCACTCTACCCACAAATGATGCGCTATGCAGGCAGCTGGAGCCCAAGCCTGTCACTGACAATCAGCTTCCTTGTGCCACCTGCGGCCACTTACAGTCAGCTGAGGGAAACAGCCAAACAGGTGACACATAGCGTGGCCACAGCAGTGCAAACATGGAATCCATCTGGATTAACCCATTTAACGTCACTCTGTTATCTCCATTTATATGAATAGATAAATTACAGTAGCAACACTTGTCTGGCCCAATGTCACAAATTTACAGTGACTTTGTATTTTCCATACATCCTTTTTATATATCGAGCACTGTTGATACATACGTTATTTTCCGTAACCTATTCTACAACACATCTATGTCGCAGCTCTGCAGCCGCACATACATAGAAATATTTGTGTGTTTGTTGGAGGGCGACAGAAAGGAGCAAATATTCCTGGCAGTGCTCGCGGCTGGGAATGACATGTAAATTCATAGCGACAAGCCGTGTCGTATGGAGTGAAATCAATAAGACAGACACAGAGAGAGCGGCTGCAGATTTGGGACAGCAATCCAAATACATTTCTCAGATCAGCCATCCACCATCCAAAGGCCGTGACAGAGGGAGGGAGGAGGGGGAGATCTGACATAAACACAGAAATAACACAAGATGCACACAATGCCGCGGGAGGGGAGAGCCGCATGTTTACATAGGTAGACCATTATTTTATTATTTCCCCTTTTGTGTTAGATAAAGAATAGCTATGTGTAAATTTACAATACACGTGATGCACATGGACAAATGTACAAAGTGACAGAAATCCCTTTCCATTAGAGTTGCGAGCCAGCCTTCTCAGTGAGCAATTTGCTACATCGTGTTAATTAAACGTTGATTGAGATTTTAGCTGATTTACATCTAAGGTTTCATAAAATGACTACCATCATTACAAAAAAAAATGCTTTAGAAAATGAGTTTCTCAGCTTTTTGCTTTTGAAATGCAATTAGCGTTCATCTACCTTTCATTGATATTTGCATGTGTTAATGAGCGTACCCAGACATTTTAAAGGCCAAGTCCAGCCGAAATGATGACATGCATGGATGTGATATCTGAAATCCCCTTTAATTATGAAAAGGATATTGATATTCAATACCAACCAGTCAAATATTTTCTTTAGTCTCAGTGAAGGTAGACTGAGGAGATGCAATTGCTAACTGGCTGCTGCACATCATGGCACATACCATACACCATCAGAATTCATGCTGTACCCTTAAAAGTTTGTGTATTCCAGCATATCTAAACTCAAAAACAAATGTCATATGTTGCAGTACAGTCCACAGATGTGGAGGATGCTTTCTTTTTTATTTTTTTCCCCCCTATATTTTGCCTGTGCCTGTAACACATTTCTGTTCCTGAGTAACAACACTTACTCACTGTACTGTGCAGCAATGCCACCCTAGACTGCTCTCCTGATATGCACTACAAATACCTCCCCCTCTCCATTGCCATAACAGGTGGAGGTATTCTCTTATTCACAGGTGGGAACTAGTAAGAGCTGAATTGTTTGATATTTCAGTTCAGTGCACAAAAGGATACAAGTACACTTGATTTCTGGCAGGATAAACAGGTATTCGTCTTCTGTACTTTTTGAAATTAGTACAGCCTGAAAAAAACTAATGTAGTCTCCAGATGCCACCATAGGGCTGGTAGCATTAAAAGCTTTTCTTGGGTTTGAATGCACTTTGTTTTGTGGTTTATAGACCTCGGACTGAGTTGAACTAATGATCATTTTCTTCCATGGTTTAAAAAAACATAATGGTAGACTAAAGGTGGCAGTACATGGGGGCAAGCTGATCAAATTGTATGGTAGGCAAGCTTTCCTTTTACTTCCAGTGCTCTTCTGTTGTTCAGAGATTGATGGAGGAGGTGCGGAATTCTTCCAATAACTACCTAAGAAGCATTATTTTAGAGCATCAGCTTACAGATCTGTATGAGCAAGTTGGATGAAAATATACAACAAAATCTGATTTCTAGAGATCCCAACACTTTTCCCCCACAGTCTACTGATACAGTGCTTGACACTATAGAACACTAATGGATGTGTACAATTTAGTGTCCCCTATAAAGTCTTCCTTTATGAAGGTATAAAGAACATGTGAAATTTAGAATGCTTCTGGCAACTGGTGTAGTTTACAAGACATCACTATAGATTGTTGTAATAAATAATGGAATGCACATAACATGAAAAAATATGATATGAGGTCCACTTAAACATGCAGTTGAAATACATGCATGTAAACAGTCTAGGCTGCCAGAGGATTTGTAATTCTGTTAAGTCAGTGACCCCAGTTTCTTTGTTGTAGTTACACCATAATGCTTGGTCTCCAACCTGCCCCCAGCCTGCTGACAAAGTATGTTGACCTACTCATAAGGCCATCCCTCTGTTCTGTCCTACATCCAAGGAGAACTTGCAAGTTCAGAGTTACAGCACTAAATGATACCGTAGAACCTGATTGGCTTGTAGTTCTTGGCTACCCCTTGGTATGGCTACTGTCTTGCTGTCCAGAAGATTATAGGAAACTAATCTAAAGATGAGCTCTGCAATCTGCACAAGATCAAGTCAGCAATGGCAGTTCACATATCTGTTCTAGCATGTTCCTTTCAAAATACCTAAGCCAGATGCTGTTATGAGAAAAGCAGACCCTGTAAACCATGGAATCGGCTATTTTTTTTCTAAAATTATAAATGACCTATAATAACTTTCAATGCTTTTGACTAGTCGCTCCATCCCTTGCATCCCTAGTGTGCTCTTTGTTTGTTCACAATGACCCCACATAGCATGAAGTGTCATTTGTGTGCATTAAAGAGACGCTAAAGGGAAAGAAACAGATGATCCTGTGACATGGCAATTACAGTTGTGAGAGAGATGGGACGCAAGAGAGGAGGGGACAAGGCCAGGCCACTGTGATTATAGAGAGTGGCCGCCACTAAATGATAGGCTGGGAAATAAGAGGTTGCCAGGTTCTGCACAGAGGTGGATCCAGAAATTCAGTCCGTGTCCTTGAATCAAGAAATGTGCAGCATTAAGAAGAGGCCTCACCTTTTATACAGCTACAAAAGAATTACAGAGCAAGACAGAACATGTTTTGTAGACCTTGCAGACAGCAGTGAGAGACAGATAAGGTGAGACATGGAACGCCACTAATGATTTTGGTGAAGTCTGGTAAATTCATAATTCATAAATTAAAAAAAAAAATGTCTATAAGAACCAAACACATAATTTTTGGTTGCAAATGGAAAATAATTTTTATTACATCTTTCATGGTTTAAGAAAAACACTTAAGGTTTTATTGTCTCTACAACCTAAAATGAGAAACTGCCCTTTAAAAGTTTCCTACAAAAGGTTCTCATCGACTGTGTGTTATGTTCACAGCATTCGATTATTAATATATTTTTTTTTACCTGTTGATTCTGCTGTTCCCATAAATAACAAATTTTTTTATGCTTGGCTGATCCTCCAAGCATTGTCTGTTCCCAGAAACTTTGCAGCTTCGTTAGTGTTTATATCCTTTTCTTAGGTTGGACACTTGCCCTCGATGCTCTGTAATTGTGCCTAAGCACAGAGCATTGTTGCAGCTTAGGCAGAAATACAACGCCTGCGCCATGAGAGGAAGCTTTCCACTTGAGAAGAGGATATGAATGCTAATACAGCTCCTCCCCCCTTACCCTCCTACGTTAGCCCTCAGGTGAATCTCAGCCCATGGGTAAGAAGGAACTAAGCTGCACCAATAGAATATAAACAAAAATGTATTTATTTGGCAATAAATAAACAGGATAGTGCAGAAACAATTTATTTTTATCACTTGGGCCATTGAGTAGTAGATGTCTTTCCATCTACTTTATCTCAATTTTGTTGTATTTAAAATATTAGCATTTTTACACTGTACTGTATACCATTTATAGCCGTACATTTACACTACTTACTATTTATATCAGTAAATTGCTTTTCAGATTGATCCTATGTGATCGAATGCTAAGACAGCCATCCAAGTGATGAGTAGCTGTGCAAGGTTTGGATTGCGTTAGAGAGCTCTAAAGGCCTCTTTCACATGGGTGTCCAGAGGGGATGGTAAAAAGGCAGGTTTTACAGCCACCTACCAAGTGTGTTGAATACAACCAGAGAAGGCTGGTCACACTTGGCCAAATTAAAGTGGCATGCTTAGTTGACAGACAACACTGCCTGTCATACTTGTTCATTTAAGTCCATGGGATTGTGCCACAACCACAAGCTGTGCAGAAGAAGACACAAAAATAGACCTTTGCCTCCTGAATGCCTGATATTTGCTTCTTAGCTGCACTCTGAAAAGCAATCCACCATAATTAGCTTTTCAGATCATAGGCTAGAGTAAATCAAGCCTAAAACATCAGGCTTTTACAGTAAAGGAGGATTAGAAAAAGATAAAAAAAGACTGTCTATCTGGATAGACTAAATCGTAATCATATGCAATACTTTATATTTACCTGACTGAAAAAAACAAATTCGAAACTAATTTTAAAAAATTCTGGTCATAATGAAGAAAATATGTAAAAGTCATCTTTACATTGCCCTTTATGAAAAAAACAATCCTGAATTCAGTAGTTTATTAGATGGTTAGTCCAACAATAACGGATACTGTATGTTAACATGGGTGGATGTCATTGGGTTGAATCAACCCCTACCTTCATATTTCTCTCATAGACTCAACAAAATCTTCCATCCAAAGTTTACAGCTCTGTAACTGTGGGGTTTGTAGTCTTACTCCCCTCTGTGCGTTCAATTAGACTCGCTCCTCTCTCTCTGCATAATGTAATATAAATTGAGTTTTTTTTTTCAGTTGATGATCAATCCCACCAGAATATCTGATATAGCTTTGTTATGCGAACTTCTTGTTGTGAGCCTTTGATAGGACAGGATAGAAATATAGGTGCTGACCATTTTTCAAGGTGCAGTCACAAGGGCTGCCATTGTTGTTCACGGCCTTTGTCATACTAGTTAGCCAATCCTGGATCAGGAGGACAGCCTAGGTACCTGCATCTTCCAAAAACAAGTCAGTGATAACAGCTTCCATAGTTCTCTTTTTAAATTGTACTCCCTCATTGCCAAGTATGTTATTCTGTTTGTGACCAATGTTAGAGCTCATGTAGACCGGCGTTTTCCGCAGATTCTCTTTGACCTCAATGGGGTAATGTAGATGGGCATCAAGAGGCTGTGTTTGACCCGCTTTGTGTCATGTTCCTTTCTGTTGTAGCATTTTCTTTTCAAACACTGCATTTTTCATTTGAACTCATATATTTTGATCAAGACGCTATTCAGATGTATATGTATGGATATTACAAAGATTGTGGTTTTTTTTTTTTTTTTTTTTTTTTTTAATTATTATTTTAAAGCAGAACTTGGGTAACCTGGTTCATCTAGTTAACAGTGCCTAGATGAGTGATCACCATTGAGAAGCAGATGTCCTCTGCTCCCAGACATTTTAAGTTCATAGGCTGAAGTGATGTTTATTTCTCTTTCATTGTGCACAAGACTATCTGCAGAAGTGGATTTTCTTCTCTAAATTATAAGCTTAGCATTGTAAACAAGCTATTGTGCAAAGTACTACAAAACTTTGACAGTTTTGCTATGTTTATCACATTTAGTCCACTGTTGTGTATATGACCTAACATAACTAAACCCCCTCTAATACAATAGTATCTGTTCTTGACATTGTTAATTTTCAGTTTAGCCCTACCCCCCCCCCCCCCCCCCCAACACTTTCCCTTCTTTTCTCCCCATTTTTTCCCCTTTTCCTTTTCTCCCCTCGTTACTGACCATTTCCCTGGAAGAATGCTGTGTACCTCTATCTTTCTTTTCCTCAGTTTGATTTCTAGTTCTCTCCGTTCTGAGGTACCCCCCTCGGACATCCTATGTTTACCCTTTTCTTGTAGCCGAAAGTTGAAAAAGTGGGGTAGCATCATACTGTTGCATATGTTGCCACAGAGTATATGGCCTTCTATTTTACCCATTCAGTCCCTCTTCTACAGTGAGGAACAGAAGTATTTGAACACCCTGCGATTTTGCAAGTTCTCCCACTTAGAAATCATGGAGGGGTCTGCATTCCCACTCTGAGAGACAGAATTTTTAAAAACAGTTCAGGAAATCACATTGCTTGATTTTTACAGAATTTGTCTTGCACTGCTGAACATAAGTATTTGAACCCCTAAGAAACAGCAATAATTCTGGCTCTCAAAGTCCTGTTACTGTGCCTTTAAAAAGTCCACCTCTACTCCACTCATTAATCTAACTTAGTAGCACCTGTCTGAGCTCTTTAAAGACACCTGTCCACCCCACAGGGCTGGAAAGGGCTACGGAGCAATTGCCAAGTAGCTTGGTGAAAATAGATCAACTGTTGGAGCAATTGTTAGAAAATGGAAGAGGCTAAAGACGACTGTCAGTCTCCCTCGGACTGGGGCTCCATGCAAGAGCTCACCTCGTGGGATATCACTGATAAGAAAGGTGAGGAATCAGCCCAGAACTACAAGGGAGGAGCTGGTCAATGACATGAAGAGAGCTGGGACCACAGTTTCAAAGGTCACTGCCGGTAGAACACTACGCCGTCATGGTTTCAAATCATGCATTGCACGGAAGGTTCCCCTGCTCAAGTCATCACATGTCCAGGCCCGTCTGAAGTTTGCCAATGACCATCTGGATGATCCAGAGGAGGCATGGGAGAAAGTCATGTGGTCAGATGAGACCAAAGTAGAACTTTTTGGTCTAAACTTCACTCGTCGTGTTTGGAGGAAAATGAATGAGTTTTATCCCAAGAACACCATCCCTACTGTGAAGCATGGGGGTTGTAACATCATGCTTTGGGGGTGCTTTTCTGCAAATGGGACAGGACGACTGCCCTGTATTAAGAAGGGGATGAATGGGGCCATTTATTGTGATATTTTGATCAACAACCTCCTTCCCTCAGTCAGAGCATTGAAGATGGGTTGTGGCTGGGTCTTCCAACATGACAATGACCCAAAGCACACAGCCAGGATAACCAAGGAGTGGCTCCGAAAAAAGCATATCGAGGTTCTGGAGTGGCCTAGCCAGTCTCCAGACCTAAATCCAATAGAACATCTTTGGAGGGAGCTGAAACTCCGTGTTGCTCAGAGACAGCCCCGAAACCTGACAGATCTAGAGGAGATCTGTGTGGAGGGGTGGGCCAAAATCCCTGTTGCAGTGTGTGCAAACCTGGTCAAGAACTACAGGAAACGTTTGACCTCTGTAATTGCAAACAAAGTCTTCTGTACCAAATATTAACACTGATTTTCTCAGGTGTTCAAATACGTATGTTCAGCAGTGCAAGACAAATACATTCTTAAAAATCATACAATGTGATTTCCTGAATTTTTTTTATTAATTCTGTATCTCAGAGTGGGAATGCACCTACAATGTGAATTTCAGACCTCTCCATGATTTCTAAGTGGGAGAACTTGCAAAATCGCGGGGTGTTCAAATACTTCTGTTCCTCACTGTATGCTGCTTGTCATCTTACTCTTGAGAGGCTTCTTTGAATTTTGGTTCACATTGTCAGTGATGGCTTTTGACCATCATAGATGTGAATTTCAATGTGTTTCTTATGATGCCCTTTAAAAGAGAGAATTATTTAAAAAAAAAAAAAAAAAAAAATTGTGTTAGGAATACTGGGTGTTTTTAAATTGGGGCTCTTTGATGCTAAACAACCTATAATCGTGCCTTGTAGCCAATATTGGCCTTTCTGACTCCATGTAGTGTTGTCAATTTGGTAGGCTATTCTTGGAATATTGTTTGAAAGTAGAGCTCCAGCCAAATGTTTGTTTTTGTTATAAAGTGTTAGGTTCGGACCCTTCTGAAATTCTGATGGAAGTTCTATGTCAAGTTTTTGTCTTTCTTTTGAGGAGAATTCTCTTGGCTTCTGGACCTCGTGACCACATTGGAAGTGAGGAGAATTTCTCTAATGGGGACACAGTAATAAAAGCATAAATCATTTCTAATCCTTTCCCAGTCTACTCAGAACTAAAAAAAAAATGTCTGGAGTTAAACTGTATGGGCAAAACACTTTACAGTATACTTGAATATCTAATTTGAGTAAAGCAAATCTATTGTATAATAAAATTTGCTTGCCTAACTGTCCTATTGCGAGACTAAACTATTGGTTCCTTTTATTTTGCAGGCTAACGGAGGGTGGCAGGATGCAGCCACTCCTTCGTCTGTGACTTCCCCTACGGAAGGACCTGGCAGTGTCCACTCTGATACCTCCAACTGAGCAGACGGCTCCTGAAATTTCACTCTTGAAAGCCAGATTCCATCCCTTCCCTCTCACTCCAGATGGCCACTGTGGGAATGCAGCAAACACAATGACCTCTTTTGGCATACCCATTGGCAGCTCTCCCACCCACCCTCCATTTTTAATCACCATCACTCCTTCTTTCATGACTAATTTTATGTCAACGATTCACTTTTATATAGTCCACACCCATAATTGATTTTCCACATTATAGGGATAGTTTTGTGTGAATAGCAGATGGCTACCAATACATATCAATCAATACTAAATAAAGAACTAATTTAAATATGGCTGTAGCTGTGCACAGAAACGGCCATATTTAAAAGAGCTAGTATGTCTACAAATGTGATATTTATAAAGACTGTGCTGTTTTGATTTTTCATTTGGCTTATTACTGCACCCCTCATACAATTTAAGATGTAGCTATGGGCCAAAAATGCATATTGTGAACATCTTAGTCTAACTTTGCTTCCTACTACAGTCATTCTCCCCTTTTAATAATGGGACTGAGCCATGGATATTGCTATACCATTGACCTCTGATTTTCTATACAATACTCAATCCATTTACATTTGTCTGGTGTCTTCTCTGCTGAAGGAACCCTGTTTGCCCTTCTGCAAGTAGCCCTGAGAAACAATCATTCTTCTCAATAGGTAGACCATCATGTGGGAAAATCATGAGGGAACTCTTGAAAGACATTGAAACTTTACCAGGCCTTGCCTGTTCCTGGATGTACTGCTGGTGAAATAATTTCCCTGTATCTGCAGACCCTGTTTCTACTTTGGGTATGGATGGGTGTGTTCTCCAGACATTGGTTTGTCCTACAAGAAGCTCAGCATAGTTAAGACATCAGTACAGATTTCTGTAGTCCTTGCCACCAAGTCACAACTCCGTCCACTGTAACTGCCTTGAGAATTGGACTGCTACATTTTCCTGAAGACTTCTCTAACATGGCTCAAAGTAAACCACTGGTATCCTATCAGACCTTTGTTTGCTCCACACCATGTTCTGGAATGTCACCATGCTGCTTCATAATCAACTTTAAACATACCTATTCCCACTTTAGCATCAAGTATCTCTGCAAGAAAAGCGTGCTCTATTTCCAGACCAATTCTGTTTCCGTCCAGATCACAATTCTTCATGAGAGCTCCAGCTCCAATAAGATTGGCCACCTGCAACTCACTTTTTACAGATTTTTTTTTTTTCCATCTCATGAGTTCAGATTTAGTTGAAGAAACCGCACTGTACAGTGTTGTTGCATTTATCGGACATCATTATGTCATTGAATAATCTCACTGTCTGGCAGATCTCCAAAGACACCCACATGTGGTGTCCCAAATCAACGTTTGATACCAAAAATCCGCATGTGCTCGCACAGAGGAAAGACGGACACAGAGGGAAGTGCTCAGCTTTATTAACATTCACCGCGGTTTCACATAACTTGTGTATCGTCGATTGTTATATTTGAGATAAACATTTGATGCTGGATGTTCTTGTATATTCTGAAGAAAACAAAAAGACACAAGATAAAAAAAAAGACATGAAACAGCCAAAAATTGTCCTGGGTTTAATAATGTTTATTACTAAAAGGAGATAAAAAAAAATATGAAAAAAAAAATTGTCCTGTTGCAGAGATCACACCCGTTTAGCATGGAAATAGGTTGCTGATTTCTATTTTATGTCTTTCATATTTCTTGCTTAGTTTTAACATGAAAGAAAAAAAAAAAAACAAACTACCTACATGTGATTTATTTTATTCTTTTTAACACCGCGCGTTTGTGAGTTATAATGCAATGCTAGATAAATGTAGTTGGGCACCTTTTTTTAGTTTTTTTTCCTTTTCTCTTTTAATTTTTTTTTTTTTCTTTCTTTTTTTTTTTTTTTTAAGGGTGGGGAATGCGGGCGGGCACAGGGTTTTGGGCAAATTTGAAGTGGTTACATGAGGAAAGGGTATGGGTATTTTCCCAATGACCCCTTCACTGCTAGGGGGATCGGTGATATATATGCTGTATTTTCCCTCTGGCAGAAATGGGGTTAATTTAGCAGTCACAAAGACTCTGCAATATAAACCCACTTTTTGTACACTAAAGTTAAAAAAATAAAAAACAAAAAAGTATGAAAAATGTTGGAAAAAAGTTGGAATAGTTAAACAATAGGTACATCATAAAATGTACATTTAATAACTTTTCTGAGAACCAGAAATAAATTCCTTTTTTTTTTCCTGTTTTCAGCTCGTATTTGTCTCAAAGCACTTTGAATAAACTTATCAAAAGTTGTTTATATATTGCAGCCCAAATTCATCTTCTACAAAAATATATAAACTTTAGGTGCTAAAATTTTCAAATTCTGCAAAGTCTTTCTTTTTATGGCTTTAAATCACCTGTTGAAAGTGTATGGCCAGAGTGGAGGTTGCCAAGATAACGAACTCTCTAAACAGGGTCTGACATGCCCCTTGCTGGATCAGGGCTTGAGCTAGCCAATCAGCAAAGCTCACACTTCCAGCTGATTGATTAGCCTTACCCTTTGGCTCAACATGGGTCATAACTGACCGCTGCCTATGCACAGAGTGTAGCGGTGGTCTCAGCAGTCTCCAGTCAAGACACAGACTTTGCAATAGTTGCTTAGACTATATAATCCACATATAGAAAAATGTAAGACTGCAGAATTTGTATGTTAGGCACCATGAGTTTATTACATTTTTGTGGAGGTTGGGCTTTAAAGAAGCCTTTACAGATTGGCAGTCTAGTGAAATCTAAATATAATGGACTGATCTACTACAGGTGAAACTCGAAAAAATTAGAATATCGTGCAAAAGTTCATTTAATTCAATAATGCAACTTAAAAGGTGAAACTAATATATGAGATAGACTTATTACATGCAAAGCAAGATAGTTCAGGCCGTGATTTGTCATAATTGTGATGATTATGGCTTACAGCTCATGAAAACCCCAAATCCACAATCTCAGAAAATTTGAATATTGTGAAAAGGTGCAATATTCTCGGCTCAAAGTGTCCCACTCTAATCAGCTCATTAAGCCATAACACCTGCAAAGGGTTCCTGAGCCTTTAAATGGTCTCTCAGTCTGGTTCAGTAGGAATCACAATCATGGGAAAGACTGCTGACCTGACAGTTGTGCAGAAAACCATAATTGACACCCTCCATAAGGAGGGAAAGCCTCAAAAGGTAATTACAAAAGAAGTTGGATGTTCGCAAAGTGCTGTATCAAAGCACAATAATAGAAAGTTTTGTGGAAGGGAAAACTGTGGTAGAAAAAGGTGCACAAGCAGCAGAGATGACTGCAGCCTGGAGAGGATTGTCAAGAAAAGGCCATTCAAAAGTGTTGGGGACTTTCACAAAGAGTGGACTGAGGCTGGAATCAGTGCATCAAGAGCCACCACACACAGATGGATCCTGGACATGGGCTTCAAATGTTGTATTCCTTTTTTTAAGCCGCTCCTGAACAACAAACAACGTCAGAAGCGTCTTACCTGGGCTAAAGAAAAACAGACCTGGTCTGTTGCTCAGTGGTCCAAAGTCCTCTTTTCTGATGAGAGCAACTTTTGCATCTCATTTGGAAATCAAGGAACCAGAGTATGGAGGAAAAATTGAGAGGCACACACTGCAAGATGCTTGAAGTCCAGTGTGACGTTTCCACAGTCTGTGTTGATTTGGGGAGCCATGTCATCTGCTGGTGTTGGTCCACTGTGCTTCATTAAGTCCAGGGTCAACGCAGCCGATTACCAGGAGATTTTGGAGCACTTCATCCTTCCTTCCACAGACGAGCTTTATGGGGATGCTGACTTCATTTTCCAGCAGGACTTGGCACCTGCCCACACTGCCAAAAGTACCAAAACCTGGTTAAATGACCGTGGGATTACTGTGCTTGATTGGCCAGCAAACTCGCCTGACCTGAACCCCATAGAGAATCTATGGGGCATTGCCAAGAGAAAGATGAGAGAGACCTGAGACCGAACAATGCAGAAGAGCTGAAGGCCGCTTTTGAAGCATCCTGGTCTTCCATAACACCTCAGCAGTGTAACAGGCTGATAGCTTCCATGCCACGCCGCATTGAGGCAGTAATTGCTGCAAAAGGGGCCCAAACCAAGTACCGAGTACATATGCATGCTTATACTTTTCAGAGGTCCGATATTGTTCTATGTACAATCCTTGTTTTATTGATTGCATGTAATATTCTCATTTTCTGAGATTGTGGATTTGGGGTTTTCATGAGCTGTAAGCCATAATCATCACAATTATGACAAATCATGGCTGGAACTATCTTGCTTTGCTTGTAATGAGTCTATCTCATATATTAGTTTCACCTTTTAAGTTGCAATACTGAAATAAATGAACTTTTGCACGATATTCTAATTTTTCAGGTTTCACCTGTATATGAAACATTACAGAATTGCCTGCGATGTTACAGTTGCCATAAGCAGTGACACTTTAAATGTGTAAAAACTATAGCACCAAGATCTCTTTTCAGGAATTTTTTTCTGAAGGAGGGGGCTTCTGTACTTTTTTTTTAGAAATGGCTATTTAATATCTTGCATACTGCTTGTGTCTGACAATGGCTAACATGGTTGCTTTCTTCAATGTACGATGCTTATAACACCCAGTCAGAATCCTTTCATTTTTTTTTTTTTTTATTTTATTTTGAATTAAAGAATGGTATTGGTGGTGTATAATTTGAGGTTATGTCAGGACTGTCTTCCCAAAAACATTCAATGAAAGCCTGCTTGGATCTCTACTCAGATAACCTAAATATAATACATTTTTGAGGTTGATGACTTGTCGTCTTGTGTGCCGCAGATCTACAAATATGGACATCTTACCATTGTCTAAACAAGAAAAAAAAATTCCTCTTAATGTAATATTACCACAACATTGTCTCTCTATAGGTGGCCATGCACATCAGACTGTGATCAAAGTATGAGCAATCGCAAATAAGCAATCAACTAAACTCTTGAATAATGCA